TAGTCAGTTCAGTCTTTAATACTCGACAAATTTATTGCGTTAGAGTAGATGAATACCTAAAAAGTTTAAACGGTTAAAAAATATTAAAACTTGACTATTTAACATTTTAAAAGTAAGTTTTATTACGCTATCATAGCTTTAAGAAAATATTATTTTCAATTAATTTTGTGATTTAAACAACAGATTTAATCAGAGAAATGCTACTTACGTTGTTTCTAAAGGCCCTCATTTTACTATTGTTTTTAGTGTGTTATCTAACTTAAAAGAACTTGAATGCAATATAATATCCATGTTAAATTAAAAAACAGCATTTTTATATCGCCTTTTTATTTCAAACAGCATTTTACTTGAATCATCACACTGAATAAATTCTTTTCGACTATACTTTCAAAACTTATTAATACGAAAGTAATGCATGATAGCAAGGCGAAAGGTAAAATCATTATACAAAACAAAAAAGGAGAGTCATTGCTTTACATGTACAGATGCGGTATAAGTATTAAAAAGGTATCCTTCAGGACGGCTTGCTAAACAAGTATATTTAATTCGTATTACTGAGAGCAGCGACAGATCAATTTCTTCTTTCTGTCTACAAATGGTATTGAACAGAAGATAAGTTATATGTTTCATTTTGTAAGACTAAGCAAACTTAATTATACAAGCGCGACATGAACTAACTTTTGTTTAAGTGTCTATACAATTGCAGATATACAAGCAGTTTTGAAACATTATGTCTTGGAAAATAAAAGAAATAATGCATAACATTTATCATACTTTATCATCTTTTTCATTAAATTATGTTCTTCGCTTCTGAGCTATGATGTCACCACTGTTTTCTTAGACCGCTTTATTGGAGACCATAATAATATATTTATTCTTCCATGACCTCTTTCGCTATTCTCTTTCAAATTGCTAATTTAGTTATTCTCATATAACTGGATTGAATAGAGGACAATATTCTAGAAATGATACCGAGTAATTGAGCTTGAAAACTCTAGTGTTCAATCTTCTGTGATCAGAAACGAATTTGTTTCAATTTGTTTTAGTATAACATTAAATTGATATTTGGTGGAATAGAGAAAAATCTTTTCTGGCACTTCAAGTAAAGAGTAGAGTACGCTTATGCTTTTTTTAGATCACAGACCTATAAACATACTGATTCTCATCTGAGATTCTCGAAACTAATTCAACAAGAAAATCGACAGAATAATTGCTTCTTCATTGAAATTTAAACGGGATTTCTAAAAGAGTACTCATTATAGGAATACAATAAATATCATATAATTTTAAAATTCCTGTTCCAATTTAGTTTTAAATAATTATTATCCATGTATTTTTTTAAATAACTTTAACTGTATGATTATACTCTCAAAGAGAAACTCCTAAAATAATTAGTGTAATTTTAGTAGCATTCTCACTTAAAACTATATCACATATAATTAAAATATTGTAATTCTTTAAAACGTAATTTATACAAACTGAATTTCAAACGACATGAAGGACTAATTTTCTAACAAAATTTGTCTTAAAGAATAAATATTATAAATAATTTACATGAAAAATTATGTATTAGAGAATAAAATATGAGAGTAAGGGCCATTCTTTACTAACTGAAGTATTTGAATAATTTAATCTTAACAAACCACTCATTAGAACTGCCTCAAATAAGAACGACCTATTAGAGCGATTAAATTATTTTGCAATTGATTTGTTCTCTAAAGCATTTTGGACAATTCTGCATCAGGGATTTTAGTTTATTAACCTTGAAACCAAATATTTCATATTGGCTAAATGGCTATATTTTAATAATCATTCAAGTAATATATTATTATGTAATTTTTCGATCAATATAAAGTTAACATATAAGGTCTGTGTGAAAACTTCGTTGAAATACAAATAGGCGTTAAAATTACATTAATTATGTAATTGAAAATTACGATGATGGTCTCACAAGTATATATGTGTACAATGTTTTGTATCCAATAATAGATGTTGGAATCTATTGTAACATCCATTATATATACATATGTAATATTATAAATTTTAACTGGCGACAAATGGAAATCACTCTGAAAAATAAAGTTCTGAAAAGTGTTTTATTTAGAAACCGTATGTGACACCAACGGAAAGATGCAGTATGCTGAAGGTATCTAGTCACTTGTTAATTATCTGTTGCTAACAGTCACAGGGCTGCAAAAGTCTAGGCTTTCAAACATGCAGTGCATAAGAAATGTCAGTTGTTTTCATTAACGTTATATAAAGTTTAAAAAAGAACCTGTTTATTGTGAACTATTATTTGAGATTTAAGGGAAAAGGAAGTGCACAAAACTTTCTGCACGAACTTTGTTACATATTTAGTCGAGTTAGTATTAAGTACATCTCTCTCCATTTTGAAATACTGTGTATAATTTCATACGTTTTATTAATGAGACCGTGCAATTTTGGAAATGAGAAATTTTCGTGTATAATCTTTTTGACATGTAAAATTATAAGGCTGTTGTAGAATTTAATAGTCGGCTGAAATATGGGATTCTTAATTGGAACTGCGACTCTTAATATATTAGACAGAACTGTTCCTGAAATAAATACTTGCATTTAGAATTTTTTTCTTTTTCCCACACATTGAAATTTTCCATTTTAAAATGACAATTATGAATTTAAATTTAATTTACCATTTTGAATTATTTTATAATTTTCTGTCCCTTATTTCATTTAGGTATGTATCGAAATTCGTTTATTTTCCATCCATGCGCGTTGAAAAAAAGAAATTAATTATCGGGAGAAAAGGCTACAATGTTTCATTATTTAAACAAAAACTTCTAGTTTAAATCAATTGCATTCTAATTTTAACATGCAACGTAACCCTAAAATACAATAAAACATTTTCCAAGAATTTTGTTAAATTGACATTTACTTTTAGATGAATGTAAGTTTCATTGCACGTTTGCAACTTTAGATTCATGTTTCCACCATTACAATGTTTCATTATTTAAACAAAAACGTCTAGTTTAAATCATTTGCATTCGAATTTTGTTATGCAAAGTAACCTTAAAATACAATAAAACATTTTCCAAGAATCACGTTAAATTGACATTTACTTTTAGATCAATGAACGTTTCATTGCACGTTTGCAACTTTAGATTCATGTTTCCACCATTACAATGTTTCATTATTTAAACGAAAACTTCTAGTTTAAATCATTTGCATTCGAATTTCTAAATCATTTGCTTTAAATCATTTGCATTCGAATTTCTAAATCATTTGCTTTAAATCATTTGCATTCGAATTTTGTTATGCAAGGTAACCCTAAAATACAATAAAATATTTTCCAAGAATTAAGTTTAATTGACATTTACTTTTAGATCAATGTACGTTTCATTGCACGTTTGTAACTTTATATTCATTTTTCCACCATTACAATGTTTCATTATTTAAACGAAAATGTCTAGTTTAAATCATTTGCATTAGAATTTTGTTATGCAAAGTAACCCTAAAATACAATAAAACATTTTACAAGAATTACGTTAAATTGACATTTACTTTTAGATCAATGTACGTTTCATTGCACGTTTGCAACTTTACATTCTTGTTTCCACCATTATTTTACATTCTTTATTTAAAACTTCTTGAATAAAAAATTAATTTAATGATATAATGGGGCAAATTACTATAAAAGCACGAAATTCCACTTACTATTTCCTATGTTCTTAAAGAAAAAGCATCATCTCTTCCAAAGTTCAACCGATTTTTTTTTCTCCATTTTTCCTACGCGGTGCTTTGCATTGCCAAAACTTCTTTATCCAAAGGATTTTTACCCCATATAACTGGAACTAACAGTCCTCTTGAAAACGGATTTTCTCTAACGGGCATTGCTTGCACAGATCTCAATAGTTTAATTCGTCAGTGAAAGAAATAGACAGAATTCTAATAACGTCTTTTTTCCCACAGAGGTGCAGGGTATAGAAGCCTAATACAAGTCGAATCCCTTTGGTGCCGTATAGTGTGGTTTTATAGCCTTGGCACTCCTTTTTCCTCTCATATAGCAAGGCTTTAAAATAAAGCCCTATCTTTCTTAAAAGACAGTTTCGGGACATTTTTCTGATGAAGTACAAAAACAAAATGTTTATATTGAAACGTTTTATCTCTTTTGACAAATGCGGGTCTCAAAAGATAACTTTTTACTGTAGTCTAAGATTATTATCGATAGTCATGTGCAGCGAAGTCTTAAAATGAAAACTCTGCTTTACGTGATGGTCCTCTGAACAGATTTGACATTTGCAGAAGTATAAGGAGGTAAATTTGTTTCTCATCAATTTAAAAAGATTATTTCTACAGTTGTTTTGCTTTACGACATTTCCGTGAGAGCCTGAAAACATTTTTATGTATACGTCTATAATCTATTTCATTATATCACTAGAACTTCATGGTAAACGCAGAGCTTTTAAATAATGGATTTCAGTACGAAGTGTATGTAGAATTACGACAAACCATTCCAATTCCAATGAGAGTTAACTTTTCTTTAAGAAACCAAACGATGACATTTAACATTTTATGCACTTTTTCTAATTACATTGCTGGGCTGTTGAATTAAAAACGACAATGTAGATCCAGCACATTTTATTGATTTCTATTTTCGGAAACTAATTGATATTTCGGAAACTAATTGATTTCGGAAGCTAATTAATTGATTTCAGCAGATTTACAGAAAAGTAGCTGAAAACAATGTATTGTTGCCTGCGTATGGGTTCTAAACGACTGAATGCACAAATCCGATAATAGGTTAATAAAATGTATCCTTATCAAAAGAAACATACCCTGGCGGAGAAGAAGAAGGCGGGAGAAATACCTTACATTCTACCCCTTTTAAAGGGCGACTTTTTAGGGGATCCAATCGCCAAATCTTTAGTGGGGAGAAATCACCATCGACCACCCTTTTAGTTCGGGCACCACTGTAGAGACATTAGGTAATTTTTAAAGAAAGAGAGATGAAAAATATGCAACGCCTTCGCCGGGAATCGAACCACGGACCTCTCAATTAAGCGCCGAGTGTGCTGACCACTACACCACGAAGGCTCGTTAAGAAGGCGGAAGAAATACCATATACATGTATTCATAAATATTTGCGCTTTCTTTAAAAAGACGTTTTCTATAATATAAACAAGTATTAATTAATTACAAGCTGTGAAAGTATAGTTAACGGCCATTTTTTACGAATGGTTGCATTTATCTGGCAAGAAGTATGGAATTCTTCGAAATTTTTTGGTTATTATCCTTCCAAGTTTATTGGTTTCGTTTCGAAATTTTACAGTAAAAGGCTTCAGCGTTTTTCGCTAGCACTGAAATTATATGAATTCATGCAAATACAATTTACTTTCTTTTCTTTCCTGGTATATAGTGTTTTATAAAAATAATTCTTACAATGGATGATCTTGAATATGCTTTATCTTAATCTGATTTGTTTACCGTCTTACATTTAGTGATATTTTTGTTTAGAATAAAATAATTTCTTGATACCATCAAAACACTCCTTAGTTACAAGATATCCATGACAAAAAGATTACGAAGTGCTTGATAGTGAATTTCTCTTTCATTAAGTATTATTAAGAACATTAAGTATTGGTACATTTCATTAAGAACATTAAGTATTCGTACATTTCATTAAGAACATTAAGTATTGGTACGGCTTATGTCGCACAGCGGAGATTTTGTTTTGAAATAAAGGCGTAGACTTTCTTCCATTTTAAAAAGCTTTGAAAATAGGATAAATGAATTATAGAAGCTGTACTATTATAGTTTTCTTCCCAATAGATTCAGATAACATAAGAAGAGTAAATGGTAAATGACATTCGTGCAAAGTTCAGATATAATAAGCCAGAGCTCTGATTGTAAAATATGAAATATTAGTTAAAATGTTTTTAGTTAATGGGCAGATGGAGTTCTCTTTAAATTTTATTTCATCTAATTTAAGATTTACAAGGGATAAAAATGTTTAAAATAAAACTAAAAATAAATAATCTATTTTTATAAGGAAGCAATGTTTAATATAATTCTATGGAAACATACTGAGCTACAATTGACTATTTTATTTGCACATAAAATAGCTGAAAATTAAGTAAGTACTATTCGTCTTCTCTCTCTCACGTTTTTCTCTGTAGTTTCAATAAATTTTATATACCTAACAATGACAGAATTAAATAAACAGTTGAACGGTAGTAAAGCATTCTTCGTTAACTCCTCGTAGCTGAACTCAGTGGTGTCAGGAGTTTCGTGGTTATTCCCATATGTAACTTGAAAATGAATCTGTTCCTTATTAAAAGTCTTCACCAAGTTATCTCTAAAGTGGAGATAAATCTTCATTGCTTTGCCATAATAAGGTATCCAAAAATATACCTCTAAGACAGATAGTTCTCGACTGCTTATGATAAGATAATAATTACCCGCCTTTCTCCATTAAAGGACAAGTGTATTCATTTATTTTTGTTTACAGTATATTTATTCTAGCATGGTTCCGTTTACAAGGAGTATGTCAAACACCTGGCATAGGCATCATATTTCATTAATTATTATGTCATATTTTATAAGTTACAATTTTTGATTTAGCACTGATATCAATCCAATAGCTATCTAATGAAAACACATGTTTGAGATAATTATTGATTAAATATTAATTTGCCAAAAATAATTTATGGAATTCAGCAGTGTAATGTCATTCCTAACTGCAGTGAACGGATAACAATCCAATAACTACAATCATCACGACAATACCAGTATAACAATCGCTGATTTATATAATTTACATTTATACAGGTACTTATTATGAAATTCGTTTTTGAACATTATCAGTTTATTCATTAGCCTATTGCTTTCTATTAACATACATTTGCTCGATTATATCCGTACACTCAAGTGTTAAAAAGAAACATACTTCTCGCACATTTGCTTCTTGAGTTAGATGACAGTTAACGACAGATAAAGGGGCAGTTTTACTGTCAAATACTTAACAGTAAATTCAAATTTCTTTGTTGACATATTAGCACATATATTTTGTGTCATACGTATTATATTATCTATTTTTACGAGAATATAAAATATATAATTTAAAAGAAAATAAGAGGAAGGGTAGGGTCTTAAGGGAGAAAATATACATCTGTATATCTTCTGGCTCTTTGATAGCTGATGTTTTTTAATCACTATGTAAATTCTCGATCAATAAAATAATCTGAAATTTTTAGATATACAGAAAATTCTATACTGAAGTACCTTTCTTATTACAAGCATTAACATCATTTTAAATAACATTATCTTGCACACGGAAGGCATACAGGTTTGTTTCAAATTAGGCAAAATTTAGTTTTCGAATTTGTCTTTACTTTTTTAGTAAATCTTTATCTTCGCTGTCTGCTTGGAAATGAAACGAAATTTACTACAAAGACAATGCCATTCCAAAGTATTTTCATAAAATGCATATTTTGTTGAAATTCTCTCTTACTAAACTAGATGTTTACGTATTTCTGTAATGAAAATATGAAGGAAGAAATATATTGGAAAGTTAATATAATGTAAAATCTTTTAGATATCTAATAAAAAATATAATAATCAATATGAAGTATTAAAATGCAAACTATATAAACATATAAATAAGAAACTATGTAAACTATACAAAATAATAAATTATTGTCGTATCATCCGTATTGATATCGCGCGTATACTCAAAGCAAACTGAATGAATGACTACTAATGTTGAACTAATACACCTTCTATCACACAGAGTTTTCACAAGAAATGTTTTTCTCTTAATTAAATTAACCTTATAAACCTTTTGTAAACTACATTTAAATAATGCCAGTTTCATAAAAGTCCTATTAAAATTCTAATATATAACTTTCTCTTAATACAGCATACTGAACTTCATTTAATTAGCTGAACTAAAATTTGATTGCATTTTAAATCACAACCATTTAAATTCATGCATAGCTTAGAGAACAACATTAAGGACTGAGTAGAAAACAGAAGCGCTTGCGAATAGATCCTTTTATTCATGGCTTGTGTTTAAACTGAATTCCCAACTTGCGGCAACAGTAGATTTAAAACGACAAGAATCCTGAGATATCTAAAGAATGTAAAGCTTTAGTCATCGTGAATTAAGCCGCAATTCCCTTGATATAAACGTTTCTCTTGGCAGTTCCCAACTTATGCTTCATTTCATCCAAGAGTTTGAAAACTCCATTTCCTGTGGGAATATCGTTTCCTATCTTATACCTTCGAAAATAGTTGCCTCAGTTTGGCATAAGCTCAGACCCTTATCTCAAGGGGAGGAAGTAGTGATGGCTAAGACAAAGCAGAATACAGTTTGTATATATCTAGAGAACGAGTCAAATTTTGACCCATATATGTGGCTGAGTAAATAACCATATCACCGTCTTTTGATCTCTTCAAAGACATTTTAATTTTCCCTTTTCCTTTTATTATTTTATGGGCTATTTCATCAAAGTCTGTTTAAGGCTTTTCTATGCAAAGATGATTGTGTTTCAATTGACTTACTGATGCCCTTGCTTTCAAAATAATTACAAGTCTTTGTTGAATAACAAAGGAGCAAAGACATTAAGTTTCAAACAATTTAATGCCTTGCTTATACTTTGTTTCCGCAACAAATTAATAGCATAATAAATTTCCTCTAAAGTGATGCTTCCGTCAAGCTGTATATTTTGGATAAATACAAGGGTGAAATCATTAATCATACTAAATTCTTTACCATTTATTCTATAATCCTTTCATTTTACTGTTACATGATGATAGTTTTTGAAAATTCTAATTTGGTTTCTAAAGGATTAAAATCTTCAAGGTGAATTTACGTTGCCTCTTTTAATTGCATCATACAGTAATTTATGGTGAGTAAATGGTAAATGACATTCGTGCAAAGTTCAGATATAATAAGCCAGAGCTCTGATTGTAAAATATGAAATATTAGTTAAAATGTTTTTAGTTAATGGGCAGATGGAGTTCTCTTTAAATTTTATTTCATCTAATTTAAGATTTACAAGGGATAAAAATGTTTAAAATAAAACTAAAAATAAATAATCTATTTTTATAAGGAAGCAATGTTTAATATAATTCTATGGAAACATACTGAGCTACAATTGACTATTTATTTTGCACATAAAATAGCTGAAAATTAAGTAAGTACTATTCGTCTTCTCTCTCACGTTTTCTCTGTAGTTTCAATAAATTTATATACCTAACAATGACAGAATTAATAAAACAGTTGAACGGTAGTAAAGCATTCTTCGTTAACTCCTCGTAGCTGAACTCAGTGGTGTCAGGAGTTTCGTGGTTATTCCCATATGTAACTTGAAATGAATCTGTTCCTTATTAAAAGTCTTCACCAAGTTATCTCTAAAGTGGAGATAAATCTTCATTGCTTTGCCATAATAAGGTATCCAAAAATATACCTCTAAGACAGATAGTTCTCGACTGCTTTATGATAATAAATTACCCGCCTTTCTCCATTAAAGGACAAGTGTATTCATTTATTTTTGTTTACAGTATATTTATTCTAGCATGGTTCCGTTTACAAGGAGTATGTCAAACACCTGGCATAGGCATCATATTTCATTAATTATTATGTCATATTTTATAAGTTACAATTTTTGATTTAGCACTGATATCAATCCAATAGCTATCTAATGAAAACACATGTTTGAGATAATTATTGATTAAATATTAATTTGCCAAAAATAATTTATGGAATTCAGCAGTGTAATGTCATTCCTAACTGCAGTGAACGGATAACAATCCAATAACTACAATCATCACGACAATACCAGTATAACAATCGCTGATTTATATAATTTACATTTATACAGGTACTTATTATGAAATTCGTTTTTGAACATTATCAGTTATTCATTAGCCTATTGCTTTCTATTAACATACATTTGCTCGATTATATCCGTACACTCAAGTGTTAAAAAGAAACATACTTCTCGCACATTTGCTTCTTGAGTTAGATGACAGTTAACGACAGATAAAGGGGCAGTTTTACTGTCAAATACTTAACAGTAAATTCAAATTTC